ATAAACTGTTTTGACCAAACATTGTAGTCTGTGTTTGATATTACAAGTAACTGTACAAGGATCACCACGGGTGATGATTGCTAATTGCTATAGAGAACACGCCCCCTTTCGGGCCAGTCTTCCGCGGGTTTAGTGTATCAGCTTTCAGATCGCTCCACGTTAACTTTGAGCAAGACATCGCTTACCCGCCCACTCCACCCTTGGCGGTTTTGTTCACTGACCTCTCGCCAGCGTCTCGTTCTGCTAGTCAATAAACTGTTTTGCTCAAACATTGTAGTCTGTGTTTGATATTACAAGTAATTTTGCCGGCTTAGAGATTTTGGCGGGAAACAGTTTCATTGTTAGATGTCATGTGACCTCGAAGTAACCAATGAGACTGCGCGCTGTTGAGAAAAAATTTCCAGCTATATAACAAAAGAAGGTACAAAATGTAAAACATATCCTGTACTAGATTTGTTGTTGTTATTACACGTTGATCATTTTTTTTTCTGTTATTGCATTTTCTACATAGATATAAAATTTCGGGTGTTTAAATTTCGCAGGCCTTTAATTTTGCGCATGGGGTGAAAGAGTATGGGTACTTGACATTTACTTACTAAGAAAACGAGAAATTCGGGATGGTACGCGCTATTCCGTTTGGGAAGCTTCAGAAAATATGAACTGTGATTTGATGCGATGCAATTTTACTAGTCTTTTTAGTCTGTTAAGATGATTTGGACGTACTTTGTAGCCGGTCGTTCTCCCACCACGTCAAATTTATTGTTTTATGTTTATGCACAAGGTTTCCACCTTGGTGGTTTGAGTAAATGGTAAGCACACTGTGACTCCATAGCTTCCAAGATCAAGATGCATTACATGGTTTACTTTAATTCCTACGCAAACCAACACTCATATTATTATTTGGACTAGGTAACGCACTTTGTAACTTATCTCTACAAAACTTGATTCCTACACCCCCTCACCCCATCTACCCCAAAAGCCAAGCCAAATAACACGAGTTTCAGGTTAGGCTCGATTACCACCCGCTGTTCAGGAAAGGAGCCCGCGGGGAGAAAAAAGACCGGATCCAAGGGAGCGGCGAAAATCAAGCCTTGGTTCTGGTGGTTCAGTACATTTCTAAGAGTTCTAGATATCTTTCCACGCTCATCCGAGTTCTTGGAGCTGTACTTATGGCGCTGACGCTTACTCGGCTGTGTGCAGGAATTATAACTGTTTCTATTAGACTTGAGCCTAAAATAAAACAGGTTAACATTTAGCAAAAGAGATTTCAAGATGACTTTAGAAATTTTAGTTCACTTATTGGTCAACAACTATTTTCCATTAGAGTATAAACACCGGAAATGGTACGAAGGTACTGTTGCAAATCCTCGCCCTTTAGTTTCGCACTCATTATTAACTAGCTTTGCAAAGACAACATGAGGCCAATTAAGAGCGTGTAAGCGCATGGAAAGGACTGAACACGACTCTGCCGCCCTGTTGCTGAAACCCACTAGTAACGGCAGCGTAGGAGACTATCACAACAACAACAACAACATATAAAATACACATTTCTATAATGAGATATAAAGCCACTGTTCACGTCACCTGTTTAGTGGTTTTAAAATAAGCACATCAATATGGGACAGAATATTCCTCACCAGGTCTCCACGGAGTGCTTCCGTCCCCTTTTATTCTGCCTGCAGGAGGTTGGTACCTAGGTGCAGATTAGATAACGCTGATTCTGTGATGACTAGGCAACTTTCCAGAGCTGTTGCACTACAAGCATAAAGCAAAAAAAAAAAAAGAAGAAGAAGAAATACAGTGGAACTCTTATTCAGGAGACACCCTCGGGACCAGTAAGTGTCCCCTGAATAGAGGTGTCCTCTGAATGGAGGTTGGGCTGGCGTTTGTTAATAACTAACCAACAACAAAAATATTTAACTCCTTTATCTGCTGCAATCGTTATTTCAAGTAGCTAGACAATGTGTAAAAAATTACGATTAACATATCTCTATAATGCTGCTTGTTGAATTCCCACAAGTGTAGTACATCGATTTAATTGAGACAGTGCATGTTTTGACAACTGTTTGCCATTGTGACTAGTGCAGACTTAACTCATGAACGATTTTTATGGTCAGTCACTTTTTGAGTGCAAAGGTGTCCCTTGAATAGGGGTTTAACCCGGCCGGGGTCTCGCGATCCAGAAAAAAAGTGTCCCTTTCCCCTGAAATAGAGGTGCTCCTTCAAAAGAGGCAACAATACAAAGATTATGTGAACATTTTTCCGGCACTAAATTTTGTGTTCTCTGAATGGAAGTGACCTTTTTAGAGAGTAGCCTGCGTAGCTGACGGTATTGTGTACTAGTCGAGTGAGATTTGGCGGCGGGGCCGCGAGAAATTCAAACGCCTCGTCCCCACTCCCCTTTTTGGATCGCGGCTCCGCCGCCAAAACTTTAATCACACAATACCGCCAGCTGCGCAGGCTATTGAGAGAGGGGTCCCAAAAGAGTGGTTTCACTGAAACGGAAAATGTCCAAGACAAAGTATGTCAACAAAATAAATAAAATGCAGTGTAAGTTTTGGGAAATCACCCTATGAAACCTCTCTCTGGTCCTTAGTCTTTCATCTCTACACGACGATAAAACGTAGAAGAAAATAAGGTTGGCTACTGTGGAAACGATAAACATTGCATTCTGTCTACGTTGTTTTCTTTTAACTACCGGTACTACAGGATATATCAGGAACTTTAAGATGCGGCGAATACGGACTACGAACTACGACTGGACGAGCGTTGTGCTTTGTTTGTAGCACTGGTTGAGTCGTGCAAAAATAGAAAGTTAAGATTGCAGTACAAACAGTAGACTACGAGAGAAGAGAGAGGGAAACAACACGCAAAGATTTTCCTTTTTCCATGTTCAATTCACAAAAATGCAAATATTTAGCATTTGATCTTATCTTTAGAATATTGAACAAATTCTTCCGTATTTGGGGATTCGAAGCAATCTCTGGTGAAATTGGTGAACAAAGTTTTGGTTGCACAGTTTTTATTTTTCTGCAGAAATAGTAATAGATCAGAAGATTAGAAGATGAACTTCTCCGATTACTGATGTACTAGTAGTTTGAAGAATCGAAATGACGAGTTTCGATTATATCAAAGATGTTTATATCATTTTCATTTGGCAAATGCGATAAAAAAAACTGGCATAAAAAAATGGTTACACTAGCAGAAAAACACACAAATCATTTCAAACAAACTTTGAAACTTTTATAGTGGGAAGAGAAAATAGATTACCTGCATGATTTCTGTTCTCGGCCCTCAATCCGTGAATTTTGCGTATAAACCACTAAGCTTATTGTTTTAGATAAAGTTGAAGTCACAATTAACTTTAAATGGTTCGTGTATGTTCAAAGCGTAAATCTGAGCAGAAATTAGGCACAACTTCCACATTTCGCTTCCCTCTCACTTAAAGCAGGTGAATCGAACACATTTTTACGAAAAGACGAGATTCTAGAACTACCGAGACGGCACTGCGTACAAAATGTTCTCCGTGGTCGCGACTACGCGAAACAGCTCAATAACTCACCGTAGCCGCAGGACTACGCGGGAAAAACGAACAGTGAGATGGTTGTGATCATGCGCAGTAGCATGTTTAACCGTAGTCTTCAGCTCCGGGAAAAATAGTTCCCTCAAGAACTTTAACGAAAAAAATTCCGATTGCCCCAATTTGGCCCACAGGAAGTTAATAGATTTAGCGAATTATGTGCCTAGTTGCAGCCCCCGGGGAGTTTTGAGCTTCACGAAACGATTTTTCAAATCTGGTAAAAATGGCGGTCCCCTCAGGAAGAATTTTGTTGCGGGTTTTGGGGAGAATGAAAGCTTGTATCGACGAATTTCGACCAAATGCAAGTCAAGCAAGCAAATTATTTTGAAGAGTTCTGGAGGATAACAAGCAAAGTAAACGCGAAAATCGAGGTAAGAAAACAGTAAGAATCTTTGCATCAAATTCGCCGAGTATAGGCCATAGTCTGGCACACATTCTGTTGAAACGCAGCAAAATCCGTCCCGCTGAGCTTTTCGCCTTCAAAGCCTTGCTTATTTTGATGACTTCTATCAGTGAATTCATTTTTGCTTGTTTTTAACTCGATATTTCGCCGAGAAACTAAAAAATAAAACGTCTTTCGAAAGTACTTATCGGGCAACAAAGGGGACGCTAAAGTAGCTAGTTTCGCTATGCTAATTAGCTCTGACCTCATTTGAATAATCTGACAGGGTCACAAACTTAAATTTGTAGAAAATTGCTAGTCACTCCATGTTTTCGACCGATATTCGGGCTGATTTGCTTGGATATTGTAGAAAAAAAAATTATTGCTACTGTATTACACAAAATAGACAACTTTCCCGGCAAAATTACACTCTTAAAAATTTTTTGAAATAATTATGCAGAAAAATGCCATGTTTATTTTATTTATTTATTTTTTTTGGCGGAATATTTAGGCTTTCTGTGACCGAAATGTTTTTTTTTTTCTTAAAGTTTAATTTTTGCCCTTTCTTATGAGGTATAGCTTTATCTGGAACTGTAAGTAACAGCAGCGATACAATTTTTTGAAGTTGCATGGTAAAAAATATAATAGATACAATAGATTGAGACTCTTTTCAGTCTAAGCCATTGCCTTGATGTGACTAGAGTAGTTTTTAATATTTTCACTGTTAGAATAACAACACAATCAAAACAAAATGATTAAAGTCATACCAGAGGTACAGGTTCTTCATCTATTGTTACTTGTAGAGAGGGTGGTGTACTGGTTTTCTTGGAAAATGCACCAATTGTTACCCTGGAAATGACAGGAAAAGTTAAGGTGCGTTTCTTTACCAAAATCCAAGATCAGACCAAAAATTCGCATCAATAGGATTTTTCGTGAAGAAAAGAAATGATGTATCCGAAAAAGGATTATATTATTTTCCTTCATTTCCATAGAAACGACCCACAATATCGACAATGCTACAAGTTTGCAAAATATTCCTCACCAATAACATCCTCCAGTAGTAACTACAACATAAGGTTTGCCTTTCTCCCAAACCAAGCTCAGAGTCTCTGTATTGTGTACTTGTGAAGTAAAGCTAATATTGTCTGTCATTTGATCTACTGCTACACAGGAGTGAGCCTTGGGGTACAGATTAGACACACCCGTCGAGTGCCATCTGAAACAAAAAGATACGCAAGACTGGTGACATGGACAGCTTTTTAACTAGATCGTAATGCTATTAACTTAAAATACCGCTTTGAAATGTTTTAAAAGAAATTGGTCTAAGAACATGAAGTAGTAACCAAGACTAAAAAGCCCACTTCGAATTTTAGTACATATTCCGTCTGATCTACATAGTTCAGTATTAAAAAAAAGATGGTAGCATGTATTTCCCAACGAAACTTAGAAAAAATACATATAAAAGAGCAATCATGGTACCTTCCATGAAGTTGTAGCTTCTGGCTCATAGCTTCAGTGCGCTTGTCTAAAGTTGCGTACGCGTGATGGACAGTGTTGTTGAAAGTGTTGATCTCAGACTATTAAAACAAACCATCAAAAAGATTTTAAAAATGCATTTGGATTCTTTTGCTGGATCGTCATAAACAGTAACCAGTCATTTATGCGTGGTTAAAATGCATGCTGTTTCATTTTTTTTAGAAAGTATAAGGTCCTCCTAATTGACGAGACATTCGGCTGTTCCCAAGGCCTGTTCTCCGCAACTAAGAGTTCTCGACAAAAGTTTCTCGCAGACTAAGCGAAAAAGTCATAGAATACTTCAAGGCTTTTGGTTAACAGCATGATAACTAACGTTACTGCACTTATCAATACGAGTGATCGTCTGGGGAACCATCTCCAGAAGAAAGAGAAGAAGAAGACATGACCTTGGCGTCTTCTTTCTAAAATGTAACAAAAATTACTTGTTTGTTAAGAGCTGCGTGGATTTCTTTAAGCGCCACTTTCCAACCAGTTATTTCCTCATTAGATATTGACTGTTCAGCAACTAAAGACACTAACTACAAAACAAACACAGCTAAATAAGTGAGTAATTTGGTGCGAGCCTCGTTAAAGTTCAAATATTTTTAGCTACATTTACACCTCATCATCACCCCTTTTTTGTCATGCTGGCGTCTATATAAGGTCATATCTTGTTTAAGGTGAGTCATTTTGTCGTCTAGCATTGACATTCCTTCATGATCGATTAGAAAAGAAATAGAAAAATACAATATAATTAACAAAAACAATCAAAAGGCATTTTCCAAAGGGGTTAAGCTGAAGAGCCATGTCATGAGTAGGTGGAATATGATAGTCCAGGAGAGGGAAAAGTTCTGAATAGAACTGCGGATAACAGTCGCCCCAGGTAAGGGAATCCGAATTCCGGAATCCTTGTGTACCGCTGCCATTTTCCGAGTGCCAAAGACTTTTCTGATATATTTTCATTTCTAATTCAGCTTTCCCGTTTGAATAAAGTTGATGGACAACCTACGAAAGACTAGTCTGCTCCACAGCCGTTCTTTATGTCGTCACGCAACGCTCCTCCCAATAAGGAGGAGCGTTGCGTGTCAACACAAACACCGACTGGGGAGCAGACTACCGAAAGACGTAACTGTATTTTCATCAAACTCGTTTCTTCCCCGCACCTGCCGGTCCCTTCGCCAAAAAGGAAGGCAAAGATTTGTTGGTGTATTCTTTTAGAAATATGCACTTTGGGGTGAAAGAACGCTCCGTAAAATGTTCCGTTCGATGCCTAATAATGTATTAACAGACAGAAAATTTGTTTTAATTTGTTTTAAATACATTGGAGAAAAAATTATTCAGGAAGAACTTTTCTTATTTTTTTTTTTCTCTTTTTCGTTGTTAACGTTGTTGTTGTTGCGCAACGAAAAAATTAAACCTTTCACAAATTTAGTGCCAAATTTAACGGTATTAATTTCACTTGTAAGTCAGCCATCTCAATCTGAACAGAGAAGAAGAGAGAAAAAAAAAACAGAAAAGTTTCGGGACGTAATTTTTCAGCCTTTTCGTTAAATTATAGCATGCATTTTTCGTGATATCGATTGAAATAGTAGTGGCAAAAACGTCTCTTTTATTATCATGAAATAATCTACGGATTCAATAGCGCTTTCCATTATTACTAAAAATAGGTTTTGTCACCTTAGACCCTCCGCGCGACTCAGACAAACTTCGCATTCTACTCCAAGGCTTTGTATGGCAGACATACGTTTCCGACATGAAAATTGTTCTTAAAATTCGCAGTGAGCGTTTTTAAAATGTTTTTTGAGCTTAATTCCAATATATAAAAGGCACTACTGCTGTAGGGAGCAAAACCTGGTCCCGTAACTCAAATAAATGGTTAAAATCAGAAAATAAAGCGACTCGATCAAAGTAGGCTACAGAAATCGGATCCTTAGCTCTGTGTCTTAGGCAAAAAGCACCGCGATGCACTGAAACCTGACATAACATTATTAGCTGTGTAATACTCCAAAACCGAAATTGCTAAAGAGAAAATCGAGTTTGGATGTGCTTCTCGCAAGCCTGAGACAGAATATCTAAGGTGAAAAGCACACCAACATTAGCCAGGGGCATCCAAAGAAAACGTAGTTCAAAACCACTTAAACATAACACTGTTGAACGTGTTTTAGTATTTAGACGGTAGATATAGGCATATTTTTATCCCCTAAAAATTTTTCATCTGTTCGGATTTCCTAGCTGAAAGTCTAGTGATGCCAAAATTATAGGCATCAAAACTTACCTTCCCGAAAATTTCAGCCAGAAAAAAGGCTCCCGAAAACTCTAGGTGGCCTTTTTAGGGTAAAAATCCGTTAAAAATGGGTAATTATACAATTTTTTAGATGTTCGAAAATCCTAGGAGAGGCAGGCAAGCAAGAAATTTTAAAAACAAATGTTCCGAAAATTCTAGATCTCAAATCGTCCTCCGAACAGATATTTTCCAAAAGTTGTCGTTGGGTGCCCCTGATTAGCACAAACCGGAAATTGTATACGTTTGTTCTGTTGTTGTGCGGCCATGCAGGTAGAGCATATGAATCCGGGACGAATACTTTTATTAGTACTTTATATCCTGTAGTACTAAGTAGCGTAACATAAGCATTCGCAAAAAAAATTGAGCAACCTTTGCCTATAAATTTATTTATAACCTAACGCACTGTTTGATGCACAGCTATGAAGCCCTGCTCTCCACACATTTTAACATAATTTTACCAACAGTATTATGACATCGCATAAGAAATAAAACCACTCACCTGTACAGTTTTTTCCATGTTTAACGTTGCCTTGGCACGCGTTGATTATTTTCAGGATATATATCATCGAAACCAAGCTGGATTTTGTTTCCTTTAACGATAAAAATCTTCAAAGACGACGAAAATTTGTTGTCGAACGTGGCTTTCCCCCCGGGGGGGTACTTTAGGAATTTCTGGGTGGGGATGTGCCGCTGGGACCCTGGAACCCTTAACCTATACCAGAGCTAGTTCAGCTGAATTTTGCTACCCTATACTAGAGTAAACTCCCCAAATCCCCCTATCCTAGAGTAGCTGTTTCCCTTGTCTAGTTAAAATCTTCTACCAACTGATCAGTTTCCTGAAAAATGATACCCTATTCTAGACCCAAACGCTCTGATTTATATACCCTATCCTAGAGTAAACTGCCTGAAAACCATACCCTTCACAGCGGCACATACCTATATAGCCCATATATGGCAGTACCCCCCCCCCTCCCCCCCGGGCTTTCCCATACTAAACTCTTATCCTGGTCAGGTTTAACGTCTGAGTCACAACAAGGACCAGAAATTTGTGACGTCATTAGTGGAAAGCGCTATTAAGAATCAGGTGAACGGAAATNCCCCCCCCCCCCCCCCCGGGCTTTCCCATACTAAACTCTTATCCTGGTCAGGTTTAACGTCTGAATCACAACAAGGACCAGAAATTTGTTACGTCATTAGTGGAAAGCGCTATTAAGAATCAGGTGAACGGAAATTAGGCCCTCGTCGCAAGCCCCGCTCTTTACAAAAATTGTAAATTAAAGCGAAAAATATCATATATTTTGGTACAACCTAATTGTTTCAACCGCAAAGCAAATAAAAATATTTTTAAAGGCGACAATCACTTCCCTGTTCTAATTCGCAGAGCTTTAATTGAGGATTTCAGCAGTCTATATTGCATGTTTGCCACAGTTTAGTAAGTAAAAATAATGTCAAATTATCCGACTTTAATCTCTTTTTTTTTTAATGTTGGATAGTGAACTGTAAGGGAGACGTAGAAATGAAATAACTTATACTTTACTTATCTGGCAAAAAAAATCATTAACGTGGCGTGTGGACTTAAAAAAAGTGCGGGTGAATAAAACATTACTATAGCAAGCAAATTTTCCCACCTGAGTGAAAATAAAATTTCTCCATCCATGCGTTAGGACAAAAGATTGAGTGCCGAAATAACTGTTTTCATCGGCTGTGCTCAAATGTTTTCTTCTAGAATTCTCGCGTGCAGGATTGGACAACTCCTTTATGATAAAGCAATTCTTGAGAAAGGATCGCTTAAGTCGTTCATTTCTTTTAGTATCATCTGATGTTTTATTTAAAAGAATAATATATTGTCACTGATCAACAAAACTGTACCTCCAAACCATTATTTGCCAAATCAGAGCTGTAGCAACGCAAATGGACATTTCATGGCACACAATGGCCTATTCTAACTTATCATCGACGAATCCTGCCCAGTACTGAATTTATGGAGGATAATTTAAAATATAACCGCGAATAAAACTCTTTCATATATTTTCCTCTATCTTTTTCAACACGATGCTTACGTCCTGAAATCTCAGTTTTAAAATTGTGTAATTTATTCTTGGGGCGAGGAAGAAATCTGATTAAGTTTCTGTTTGATTTGTATCTGAAACGGAAACAGTTATGTGATAATAATGTACAACTTGTGTTTGCTAAGCAAATATACCCGAAGTGTAATTCGTCCTCAACTTCCTTATCTAAGAGAAAGCGTGGGGAATTAACTTTAGACAATCACGCGGCTCTCAGTAAATTTGTCTTTATTCCTTTTTTTTTTTCTAGGAGAAAGAGTAGATATTGCTCAACCATTTACTTCACCAATTTTGTTAAAGAAAAGGCACACTACATTAAAATGCTTTTTAAAATACTTCTTATGAATGATCGATGGAAAAAAAAAATGGAAATTCTCATCAGAAATATTCAATTCGTCTAAGTTAAATGCAAATTAACAAGTTTGCGCCGGCTTTTTCATCTGAAGTTATTCCTTCATGGACTCTTTTGTTCACTGAAATTTCATTTCCAAAGGTGGCCAATTGCGCCTGAAAAAATGTTTGCTGTGTCAGTAAGTTCCGAACTAAACGTAAAATCCGTGAAGATTGCGATTATAGGGACGACGAAACCGGCACATTTCATGATCTTTCAAAGAGTACTCACTAGGTAAGTCTGGCCACTAACTGCGCTTAAAAATCTGGTAACTGTTAGCATTAAGACAGAAGCTAGTTGGGCGTTATAACAATGATCGATAATAAGGAATGAAGTGGTTTATTAAAAACCCCGCGACTTAAGAACCTGGATTTTTCCAATTTAGCCTAAATAGGTTCTTATATAAATGGTAGTTACCACAAGTGTAGCCTGTTTAGGTTCTTAAATAGGTTCTTATTTTCTGAAGAAAAAAAAAACAATATTCCTCAACATATAAAATCTGCATACCATTATATTGCAGTTGGAGTGATTAGGAATCTATGTCTCCAAAGAGGATTCTCAATGTTGACTTATCTTATTTGCCCAAGTGTACAGAATGTTTTCACAGGTTTTAGAAAATAAGAACCTGTTTCAAATTTTAGCCTTAACAGGTTCTGGTATAGAGGGCGCCTTACTGTCAAATTTTAACCTAACAGGTTCTTAAAATATAGGTTCTTATAGTTAGTCGCGGGGTTTAATAACTGTTTCTACTAAAATCATATTGATAGTTAATCGATGTTAACGCGAACTGGTCCCTCTGTGTTTTAATGATGGGGTTTAGACTGTTTGAGCTTGGTCGGAAGTTACACACAAAGATTTGGCCTTTTCGCTTATGGTTGTCACCGATTTAGCCACCATGATGGTGACTGGTTCGTTTCGAGCGAGGGCGCCGGTCGAGAGCGAATTGTGTTATACGATGGTTGCATAATATCTTGCATGAGCGTTTTAACTTCCTTGTAATAGTATAAAGTTGCTGTTGTTGTTGTTTTTTAGCAAGATCAGTGAGGGAGCCTCGAGAATAGTTGTAAATGCTATTACCCTTAGCTTTGATTAAAATTAAAGTGGTTACCAAATAATTGCCTCAAATGGCAGAATTTCAGCCATCCCGGGTACAAAAAGTAAAGGTATCAAAAGCATGGAAAGGAAAAACATTAAATCAATATTGTTAAAATGCAAAATGTGATTGCAAATACTAGGAAAGGCACATTGATTCAATGTGATCTCGAGAGTCAATAACATTTTGAAAAATCTTTTTTGTCTCCTGGTTGAATATTCTTACTTTTGTGTATTAATAGAATTTCAGTTACTGGCCACAAAAAAACTTGGAATAACAGTTTTAAACAAAATAGAGAGTATCAAAGAAAATAGTCAAGACAAATTAATGCAAAATCTTCGGTGATGATATAATGATACCCCTCTCGTTTAACGTAAGCGTCAGAATTCGGGCACAACTCGACACCAACATAAGAAACATTTCACAGGAANTGGCCACAAAAAAACTTGGAATAACAGTTTTAAACAAAATAGAGAGTATCAAAGAAAATAGTCAAGACAAATTAATGCAAAATCTTCGGTGATGATATAATGATACCCCTCTCGTTTAACGTAAGCGTCAGAATTCGGGCACAACTCGACACCAACATAAGAAACATTTCACAGGAAGGAATAATACCGTCTGGTTATCCCCCGTTTATTTCAATCCTCAAATTTTGCATGAAATCAATCTCATTATTTGTCAAATTTCTGCTCAAAGTTGACGTGCTGAAATCGGGTAGAGCCGGAATTCTCATTTAGTGTTATACGGAAGTCAGCTTTCGTCAGGGTACTCTTTCTTCTGTTTTTAAGATAAAGACGAAGCTCCTAGCAACATTTATATAGAGGTTTAGTACTCTTACGTGTTGCTTAATATCTCAGAAAACGACGCCCGCTCGCTATTTTTAATAATATTTTTATATTTTTATAATAATGGCTTCCGCTGTTACAAATACGAAATAAAACTTGTTGAGCTGAAACATACGAAATATGCTGACACCGGGAAGTAGAAGCAGTGTCCGAAAAATTTTCAAGTTTTGTTAACACAATCGCCAGGCTTGCATAAAAGAAGCTGCTCTGCACACTAGCTGCATCATTCGACTGAGGATCTCTTGAGGAATCCAAATAAGAAAAAGTCGACATTTTATTATCACGATGGCTCGATTGATGCTGTTACTTTTGGTGATCGCCCCTTTGATTCTTACCTCTAACGCTGAAAGTGGGCAAAAGGTAATTCAGTTTAAAATATTGCGTTTTCACCAGGACAGTTTTAGCTTAACTTTCCCCCGGTTGAATGTAGTGCCGTTGATTTTCGCGCTTAATATTTTATTCTATGGTGTATTATGGGCTATCGATGCTTACGCTTCCTTCACACGGAGGTCACAGAGGTCGAAAATTTGACTGGAGTGGTGTGTGAGAAAAACATGGCCGTTGAAATTCTTGTACGGCAAAGGCGTGGTTGCATGGATGCGTGGTTTTTCAGCTGGGAGACGCCATTTTAGATTTGCTAAAGTAGCGCTCTACAAATAGGCGGATGGTAAAACCATCGTAGAAATTAGAATTCGACCCGGTTTGTCAATTTCATGTTAACAGAGCAAAAGTTTTGAACGGTTCCGCTCGAACGAAATTTTTTAGCCCGTTACACAACTGTCCGATGCCGTGATGTGAACGCTGAAGAACAAGTGTCTGACAGCCGGCCACTCATTATTATGCCTAGGGCTTATTGAACAGCGAGTTAAAGGCTAAGAATCTCATTCTCGTGCCTCGAGTAAAGAGACCTGTATTTATATGCCATTTACATAATAATATATATAGCGAAGTTGCTCATTTGTCTATAATAAGTTATTAAATTCATTTACATCAAAATGAGGTACCGTACCATTTCTTATTTTACATGTGTTGTCGCAGGCCTATACATTCAAGTTATCCGAAGATAAGTATGAAAGGATCAAAGTCGATGCTAACAAGAACTCAGAGACTTTCTCTTTGCGTCAAGCTTCGTCGGGCAAGAAGGAAGGAGACTATGTCTACGACTTCAACAAGGTCAATAACTAACATAAAAGGTCCAACCAATCAAAGTAATCTAAAACTGGTGTCTTTTTTTTTTTCTACTTATGTTCAAAACTTGAAATTATTTTTAATGCGATCTAGTCAAACCTTAGTTTCCCTGACTTCTGGTCTTTATAACGTTAAGATAAAAGACTAGTAATGCGAAATTATCACTGTGCAGTTTTGCGAGAACTTCTTCTTAAATGGCCACAAAACACCATATTTTTTTGTATCTGACAGAACATAAAGCTCATCAGCTAGCAACGTAGTTTTGCACCCATAAGAAAACGCTGTCGGTTCAGAAATCATTGCAAGACCATTTCTCCAAAAACTTTCGAACCGCTCAATGTTTGTGTAAAAGGACCAAAACTATAATCGAAGTGCTAATAGAATTAAGAGAATATAAAGGATCGAGTCTCTGTATTTTAATTATCCTGTATAATAAGTTATTACTAGAGTTTTCATAAAATAAGTTGACGGGGGGACGTCTGTACACAGGCTAGTTGACGCCGTTAAACGCAGAGATATAGTTGACCACGTAACTAAACAACTGAAGAAAAATAAGAAGCTTAATAGACTGTCACTTTTGTTAAGTTGGTTTGTTGGGTAAAGGAAAACTTTGATACAATTTTTAACTACACAATCGCATTTTTTTTTTCACTAATCTTTTGTGTCTATTGATCCTTGCTTTGTATTTGCTTGACTTTACTGCAGAACTTGACGATGATTCGATTGCCAGAAGCAAAAGCCTGCTTTTTAAGATACTCCATCGGAAACGTTCCTCGACCTGCTGACTTGCTGAAACAATTACAATTGGTACGTGTCTAATGATCTATAACTGAACGAGATTAAAATTAGCGTCAGGCTAAATCTGAATGTAAGAGTTTGTAACTTAAGTTTCATGGTTACATGCAGTAATTAATATTGGAAATAGGACTTAATAGAAATTATTCATTTTTCACACTGGTTTACACGACTCACAGGTGCAGAAGAGTGCAGATTCCAAAGTGACCACTACCTCTAACGAAAATTTCAAGGTTGTTGGCAGGCTGAGTGACCGTTCGGACTTGAGTGACGAGATGAAGGATCTATGTGCAGGGGTGCCAATTTACCGAATGCGGAAGATGGTTGAGAAACAGAATGATGCTGATGAAATGGAAGACCATGTGCAAGAGTCCGATGAACTAGATGCACCAAAAAGGGTGGATAGAGGTAATAAAATGATTAAATGGAAATCATTTTCGTGAAGAAGCTATAGCAATATGATTATATTAGCTAAAAGGTAACGTTAGTAGGCCCAACAAACTCTTCTTCGATGGCCAGGACTGCCTTTATGTTTAAACTTACTAAGCAAGGCTTATCGGACATTTATGGATGGGTATAAATTCAGTAGCCCAATATTTCCTGATCGGTTAGTCAAAAATTAACCTTGATCAGCGGCTTACACAGCAAGGAGTTCACAGTTCTGCCAATATATTGTCCCACCAGGCACTTATACAAACCCCGAACAAACCCAAAATCGGCTGGCACGAGACTGATAACGAGTTGAGAAACAAATTGTTATCCACCACTTTGAATTTGCAAGTCTAGTTTTTAGACTAAACTACAGTTTTTGAATTCGAAAATATTCGGTTTCAATCGTCTAGTATACAGATCGGATTAAAAAAGAGAGCGATTTGTAATAGATGCGGTTTAGACGAGGGGATTCACTGCATGGTTTCGCGTGGCCGACTGGTGAAAAAAAAAAAAAAAAAAAAAAATCGGTGTTTTCAAAAGTCGTATCAACACTGTGTACTAGGGTATGAATTAATTCAATATTAATAGTTTTGGTTGTCTTTCATCTATGTGTAAACTTTGTAATGACTATACTTACTATACAAGAACCACGCAACTCGGTAAAGATAAAAATAATACGTCCAAACACTAAAAAGTACTACCCTACTTCAAAGCTGTTTGTCAAGTTCGCATTTGAAAAACCTAAAAAAGATATAATTCCTCTACCGTCTGTTCTCATAGGCTTAATAAAGAAATGGGTGTGCAAACAAGTTTGTAATAACTTGCGCAAATGCGTCAGAGTCCCAAGCGTTAGCTGCAATTGGAGAGGCTGTAAAACTTCTTGGAGTTCAAAATGCTGGACGGTAAGGATCTGCCCGCAAGTCTGCAACTGGGTTTGGGAGAAAGCCACAGGATAAAGCATGCTTTTACACAATCATTCTCAACAAGTGGCCGCGTAGAGTATAACGTAAATATATTAATTAAGGTTTAGAAAAATTTATACCCTGTGGACAGCTAGGCTAAGTTATTTGCTTCGGCAAATATTATCAAGAAGATCTTCTGACTTACGGTACTCGGACACGGCTTTCAAAATATGTAAGAGGACTTACGGGGTCTTAAATAATAGCACTATAATTTAAGGGGACTTTTGGAATAAAAATAAAGGCAAATGCCACTTCATGCATGCATAAAAGCCTCAGTGTGTTATTAAGACGTGTTAAGGAGGGACGTGCCAAGGGTATTGCCTGGCGCCCCTTTCGCTTGTAATGTACACTGTATGACCGGAAGGTAGGGGTTATTTAAGAATTTGTTCATGCTTAGCGTGCGTATATCGAGTTATGGATGCACGCAGGAAGTTTGGAGAGCACGAAAGATGCGTAAGAGTTGCACGAGGCGATAGCCGAGTGCAACTCTAGCTTCTTGAGTGCTTTCCAAACTTCCCTAGTGCATCCATAACTCGATATACGTACAGCTAAAAGTATGAGCAAATTCTTTTATAACATAGCTGCCAAAAATGCTTGCTTTTCGATTAACTACAAAATTCTTGTAACGCGCGACACAATAACAAACGCTTCTATTGGCTGATTACAAACACTCCACAATCGCCTAGTTTGAATGAAAATTCTTTCTGTAAAACTGAGAAAGAAAATTTGCTTATTTATTCGTTAACGATCAATGAAAACTAAAAAGAAACAGAGGTAAAAGAGTCTTAAAGTCCACCTAAAGTGAAAATACCCACATGTTCGTAAGAAGTTGTGGAGTATGGCGGGGATTTGCTTAAAAGATGTTTATGTTTTGCTCTGCGAAATCCAGAAAACTTGTTTTTCAGCGAAGACGACTGTCATCCTAAGTGAACCTTATATTCATTTACGAACAATGGCTGGTCATTACGGCTTCTTGAGAAGACCTGGCAGCAGTTGTTTTTGTGAGTAATAAATTTATGTCTTCTTGTGTAATTTGTCTTGTTATTGCAAGAGAAATTTCCCTGCTTCAGTCGGATTGTTCGGCGATAACAAAAGTGTATAATTTTTTGCTGTTGAGCTTACTTTATAATTAACTTGTTTTGTAGGATATAAAACAAACGTTAAAAACGGAGGACACTTTATACAAATTGGATATTTTCCGACACAGACCAGTTTGTGGTCTTTTTCAAAGTAAATGTTAGTCTTTACGGCAGACTTTTCAACGAATCATTCAGGCTCTATTATTTGCGAAACATCTTCACCGCTTTTTCTGTTGCTTTGAGTGGCTAGAACGAAGCTAAATTAAAAAAAAAGTCTAGAAAGTTTTTTATCATTGCCATCGATTTTGAGTACTTAGCCAAAAGGGACGAAAAACACAGCTGAACACGTCATCTTATTTACGCAAAGGGCGTGCGTAAATGAAGATTTTGTTCATAGCGACTCAATAGGATTTATATAGGGCAAGCACGCGCGCTATGTTATAATTCGTTTTCTCATGAACTAGCCTCTACAGCGGGGCACAAATAACTGTTAATAAGAAAGTAGACTTTTAAAAGACTACTTTGTCCTAGCTATTTAGTATTGCCCACCGCCCTTGGGACAAACCTTTCATGACAAACAGTCACGTGGTATTGATCATGTGCAGTAGCATATTTATCCGTAGTCGTAGTCGCTGTAGTCGTCGGATCTTAACTCTATTTAAACCGGGACTGTTTTGTTTGCTTCCTGCCACCGGGGTGGCTTAGTAGGTCCTCCCTCTATATTTTCAAAACCGCTCATGATACGAGCATCAAAATCACACAGAGTAATTTACTCATCATTTCCACATCTAAGGCATAACTTGATTGACACCATGACGTAATTTGATGTCATTAAAACGTTATATTATTGAATTTATTGGCAAAATCCAAATTTTTCTCAAAGTGGCCATAAGGCGAAACTACATTTAAAAATTGAGGTGTCTGAAAATATCAAGAAGAGTTAGCAAGATCATTGATGATCTTTAAAACTAGCTGGGATGTCATGATGACGTCATTTATTACGGAAATCTGAAACCATCTGCCATCTGATTTACTTAAATGTATCCCAGTATAAATCGCGGTAATCGTGATCGAAAATTTCATCTGCGTATAAAAGGAAGCTGTGGAAGCAAACAAAAATTGGCAAGTTATCAAATTCCGAGAGAAAAAAACGCTGTTGAAAACTTTCCCGCCCCCCTCCCCCAAGGGGGGAGGGTGGGGTAGAACATGTTTAGAGTGCCAAGCTCATGATTACCATACCCATAAAACTTGAATACTGTATGTTGCCCAGTACCCGGCCGGCACCAAAATGCGGCCACTTAAAAAAAAAACTCAATTTCTGAGGCGCCCTTGTCAGTTCTCGGTAAACGGAGTAACTGAATGAAAGCTGAACATTTCAGCTTTAAGATGAAAGTTTTGGCGAGTTACAGCTTGCAAAACAGTTGCAGAAGGTGCCGTTCTGTTCAGGTGAGTAAACTTTCCATGGCTAATATTTACGCTGTTTACTGCGCAGCAAAACTAGTGCTGTTCCGAAATGGGCTGGTAATATGTGATATTTTCAAAGAAACTGTTTTATATTTAAAGTGAAGACACTTAAAGAAGTCAGGTTCTCAGAATTTTTATCAATTCTTCTTGAAATTCGATTTGTTTGGAATAACGGAGGCCAGAAACATTCACTAGGTATTGATGTCAGGTGCCCAGTATCCGGCCAGTTTTTTCTTTATTGCTGTACAGAATCGATAAATTAGCTGAGTAAATTTTCCAGATAAGATTTATTTCATATCTAATATATAGATTTAACAAGGGCTAGAAGCGAAGCTCTCGATAATATTTATAGTTTACTCAAACAAAATATAAAATCATGTTATGCTAAGCGGCGAACGCAACGAGAACCTTACGGTGAAAAAACAATAGGTCTAATTAGCAAAAAAGCAACTTTGCACGCGCAGCACACTTTTTTTTGTACATTCTTTGCCGTTGTTTTGGACGACTACAATGTGAAGTGAAAATTCCAAAAACTTGCAAGCTACTCGTTTTATGAAGGAAATGTCGTACGTTTTCTTGTTTTTTGTTGTTGTTGTTTGTTTTTTTTTTCACTGCCGCTCATTTTCACCTTGGTGGCCGCTAGCATTTCTCATTTTCTCATCGCCACTTCAAAATTTTCATGTTGTTTTTCCAACAAAAAATGTATCCTTTGGTTTTTTTTTATCTCTCGCTCTAGCTCTTTATCGCTCTTTTCCCCGTTGAGTATCGCTGGCCTGCCGCCTACTTTCTCCTTTTCTCTGTCTTTCTCTTTCTCTATATTCCAAATTTGTGGGCATGGCAATTAATTTAAGCTTAATACTTTGACAACACGGATGGAGAAATAATTTCCGCTTTCGTCTTTATTGACTCTTTAGTTGTCTCTGCTTCACAAGATGTGGCTGGCTATGCGATTTCAAGTCAAAATAACCTAGAGTTGCATTTGAGTTGCCACACCTGTTGATTGAGTTAATTTTCCTTGGGTATGCCTGTGCTGCGGACGGACGGGCGGTCTGACGTACGGTCACGTGGTCACCAAAATTTCCATTGACAAGACAAAATAAACGAGGTCCGCAGCATAGGCTATAAGTATTGTAAACAGGGAAGGAAGGTGACTTTTTTGCGCTCGTTTGTATGTGCCGGATAGAAATCGCTAAAATAGAGCGATTCCGACATACTAAAATTCATACTTGGCAGCGAGGCTTGGGGGAATAAAACAAAAGAAATTATCTTGAGGCTCAGTAATAAATAATACATTTCTTTAATTTGTTTTATTCCCCCAAGCCCCAAAAAGTACGGGTTTTCTAAAATGGGTGCAACGACTTCATAACAAAAGAATTCTTGAACACTGAGTTAAAGAAAACTTGCGAGTGCTGCAAGGTGCTTTTGAATTTTTTTAACGTA